TGTGTGTGTGTGTGTGTGTGTGTGTGTGTGTGTGTTTTGTGGCGAGGTGTATGATGAAAGCACCCATCCGTAGTTCTGTAATCCTCAACCAGAGAAGTTTTTTAGAAGAAAAAAAAAAGATAAGAGTTGATGCATGAATCAAGTTGGCCTCTGATAACTGGAACAGGAAAATCCTTTGAGCTGTTAGATAAAACCAGTCTGCCCACATGAAGTCAGGCGAGGCAGACATAGTGTAGGTGTAGCAGCAGAGTGTCTCTGGTTTGTAGCCACTGTGTTATCAGGCAAACCTGTGTTAAAGCAGTAGCTCAGATCTTTGGGGGTTCTGTGGAAAGCTTATGGACAGCCATCATCTTACCTGTTGTAAATGGCTCTTTGAACAACCTAAAATTAAATAATTAAATTCTGACATTGTTGCAAAACCTTGTTTTCTCATTACACAGTTATTTACACAGAGTCCTTTATTTCCAAACACACACAGCAGCAGTAGCAGGCTGTAGCACTTCTGGTGCAGCCTGGGGAGCTTCTGCAGAAATATCAAACTTTTTCTGCWGGAATATCCTTGTATTTTGAAATTTATAGTGGTAAAATAGTAATAGCATGAACAGGTATGACTTTTTTTTTAAACTAGAGTAATTTAGAGACTGCAGGGATCCACTTTGGATCCTTGTTCTGCTCAAATTTGCCTTTTAGCTCATTCATCCGCTCAGAATTAAACTCTCTCATCTCTCCAAAGTGAAATAATTCAAAAAGCTGTCTGCAACAAGTAAGATTAATTGTTTATTGCCTTTCCACAGAAACTAAAACCAAAAAACTCAAACTATCCMCTTTTAAGTGGCATATTTTCCCATGGCTGTCCTGCACCATTTCATGGCCTTTTTTTCTCTCTGCCTCTTATGTTTAGACGTTTTTGGCATGTAGTGAGACACATCGGTATGAAAACAAAGTTCACATAAAAGCAAAACTCCCAGCAAGCAGACTCTACATTCTCACAATGCACCTTTGGTTTGACAAATCATAGTACTGATAAATTCCATCTGAAGAGTGTGATCTTCACCATTACATTTGTGTTTATTAAACACTAAAATATTTACTCAAGGCTGATTGACTTGATGTTTTCACTACTGGATTCACAACAGGGTGTTGTTGTTGGAATCATTTCACAGAGTCGGTGTAAAACCAACCAATAAAGTGAACAGATCAAACCTTCATAGTTTCTCCGCTGTAAAGACCTCATAATTCGGTTCTGTTTTAAAAGGCAAAAACAGTTTATTTTGAGGCCCTTAACATCCACTGCATGACCGACTGCATTCCTGTTGACTTTAACCTTAACAGATTTTGTTTCAGAGCCAAACACCACAACTTCGCCTTGAAGCATAAAAGATTCATTTTAAATGCAAAAGTAGAGTTGGTTCAGAAAAGAGTGAGTTCTTGGATTTACAGCGAAAGGGAGGCCAAAAACTGTACTCGCAGTAATACGTAATAAAAAAGAGAAAAATAATAAATAAATTGGGGTGGGGGGGGGGGGTAGTCTTTTGTATGTTACAGGGTTCCCACGGGTTCTTGAAATCCTTGAAAGTTGGTGAATTTAAAAAAAATTATTTCAAGGCCCTGGAAAGTTTGTGAAAGCAGCCAAAAAAAAAAATGACACTTGTCCTTGAATGTTTTTTGTGGATTGAAGTTCTCTATTCACACAACTGATTTTCATAATCTGTAAAAAAAAAAAAAWWAAAAAATAAATTAAAACTTACATTTGTTGCAGTGGATAACTCAGGATTACGGTAAACTGACGTGACTTTCAAAAACTAACGTGAACCGTAGTCAAAGTTTTACCCAATCAGAGCAGAGGGTAAACATTTAATCCACTTTCTTTYGTTGATTCAGACTCAAAAACTTCTACGTTGTTCAGTTTTTCATTGAATTTACATGATATTAAACCTGTTTGTTGGTAACATTCTGTGGTAGCAGTAGGTAATTGCCATGGCACGTGGTTTTTGAATTTGAGAAAATTGGTACCGGAAAGTCCTTGAAAGGTCTTTGAATTTGATGTTGACCAAGGTGTGGGAACCCTGAATTCATCTCGAACCTTTTATTTATTTTCCGTTTCAAATTATTAGTTTGAAGTGCTTAATGTATTAGAGTGCAGTAAAGTTTTATGAGGGCAAAAATAAACAATGTTTGTACTCTCATTTAGTTTGTTATAAGCATTTTTAATTTGTTTTGGCTAATTTTTAACTTTTCATAGTGAATTATAGCAATGAAACATTTGTTTCTCAGGTGCTGTGATCTTTAGAATAATCTCATGCCTGTTTGTTTAATAAAGAGATTTTTGTTTTCCTGAACAGTTTCTTGAACAAATGTGGAGTGTGTCTGTGGGAAAACTCCCACTGAGACGAACCCTGTGATGTCTTCACATGTGTGGAAGTTGTGAGCAGATCTAAGCTGGACAGATGTTTCTTTAATGATGCTTCTAACCCTGCAGGAAGTTGAGCTTTAAGCCACGCTCCTGCACACATTGCTGCAGGAAGCAGTCCTGGCAGAAAGACATTTGAAGATTCATCGGGCCGACGTCCGGATACTAAGATCTTACACACCAGTGGTGCCCAATCCTGGTTCCCGTATGTCCCCTATCCTGCATGTTTTGGATATTTTTCTGCTTTGACAACCCTCATTTGTGAGTGATTAACAGGCTTCTTTAGAACTTCAATCATTCTGAAGAGAAAGGAAATAACTAAAACCTATAGTGTCCCTCGAAGACCAGGATTGGGCAYCACTGTTATACACTACATGCAGTACATATTGTATGCGTGCATTTTTAACCAGCTGCTGTCCTCCAACTGCAGCCCCGTGCACAGAAGTTGCAGGTTTCAAACAGTCTGAAGCTCTTTGTTTTTTATGCTTTTCCTAATGGGCTCTTAAGAGACACCTTCATCCCACTGGGCTTATCTGCGTCACCAAATGCTCTGTTATTAATGGGCTTGAAGATGTTCATTGGATTCAKTGGAAAACAATCCTCGTACTACTGACAGCCTCATTAGCCCGGGCAGCCCCTCCATGTGTAGAGTAACTGAGGGGTGGCAGTCATCGTTTAACGATAGAAAAAKAAATTGCAGTCTGGTTTCTGGTCACATAGCTGAAAATAGTTCTGATCTACATTCAGACTTCCTCTTTTCCTTCTATAAYGATGGTCTCGTTCTCAGGTCTTTTTCTGCGTGTAAATAAGTAGTTGATTTAAAAACAAAAACAACTTTTCAAAGGATTTTTGTTCTCCACCGTGTGATCTGGACTGCTTCTCATGAGAACAGCTGTTTGAGTTTGAAACCTGCGCTGTCGATGGATGTTTGTTTTTGTGTGAGATGCAGTTTAGTCAAGTGGTAWTTTAAACTTTATTTTTGGCTCGTTTTGTCAAACCTTAGTGGGTTGGGTGGTGCGTGTTTTTGTTGTTGGTTTGATTTTGTTTTAAAGAGCTAATATGCTTTTACTTTGTTAGAAATCTTTTGGTCATACACTAAATACACAATGAGCCTACTTTGATATTTGAGAATATGAATGTCTAAAATATTATTAGTTGTTATTAAATGTGTTATGTATATAATAAATAGATTTTTAGAGTAAACAGACTTAAAGGCAATAAAACAATTATCAGTGTAAAGGTAGTTGCTCAGAATATTATCAGTTAATTCTGTACTTTTGTTTACTCTTTGTTTTTAACCTTTTTTAAATAATAATTGTATTTGTTCATACTGAAATCTAAATTATTTGCCAGTATTGCTTCAGATGCAGCTTTTCCCATTAGACCATTCAGTTGCTGTTTTCTCACTCATGCTAAAATAAGAGCAGATTTTTAAAGTGATAGTTCAGATCTAGTAAAATTTGGTTCAGTGGAAAGGTTATGAGCTATTTTATTATCTTCTGTTAAAGGTATCTCTTTRAGCAGCTTCAGTTTGGAGAACTGAAATTTGTTTCAACTAGTGTCAGGAGGGCAAGATAAAAGTTGATTACTGCCATCTGAAGATTTGTAGTGGTTCACATCAACAATWTTTTATAAACATTTACATCTTCATTAATTCTGCATTACATACCTATTACACATTATTAACAAGCACAAATGGCATTAGCAGCCACTAGCTGAAGCATTTCTTTTGCAGCCTGCAGCACTTCCTGCAGGAGTGTCATATTTTTATTGGAGTAATCATTCAATGGTAAATTTACTATAAGATTTTTAAAGAATAGACATGCTTTATGTCAGTAATCCACTTCCCTCCTTGTATTTGCCATTGGCTCATCAATGTGGCTGTCAGATTTAAACCCAATTTCTCCAAATTGAGATCACTGAAATGGCTATCTACCACAGGTTAGACGTGAATTGTTCATAACATTTCCATAAAACCCGAGTTTTAAAAGATCAGAACTGTCCCTACGTGTTTCATTCCTTTGTAAGTCTGAATCTCACCTTAATTATTTCTAATGTGACTGATTATAACTGCTGATTTGTTTGTAATGTAAAAGGATTGTAATAGTCTAATATTCAGGAGATTATTATTCATCTCTTTCACCTTGTAAAGGTCTTGTGTGCCCCCACACWCCCAGAAAGGACAGGAAGACAGAACTCGGGGCTGGGTCTCAGCTGCTGCCCATCAGGGATGACTGAGCAAGGGTTTTGGAGCTGAAGGTGGGGGTAGTGGCGTGATGGAGCAGGGCATTTTTCAGCAGGCAGGAAATGGGCAGAGCAGGGTGTGCCAAGACAGGAAGCCTGACTGAGTGCCTGTTGTAACCCGCCACCCCGCCCTCCAACCACCCCACCTTCAGCACATCTAACCCTAGAGAGTTGGCCACAGTGACCATTTCTCCATGGCTGTGCCTCTG